CAGTTCTTATTGATTGGGGTACTCTATTTAGTGCAAGTGTCTATGTATTTTATAGAAAAAGAACATATATTTCCATTTATTTCAACACAAGCTGCAGGCATTTACACTGGTGCTGGGAGCACAGCATGTTTATACAGTAACCAGACATACTACAGGATCTTTGAAATGGCCCAGTAAAACCAGAGTTACTTGTTTACGGAATATCCCCCTTCCTGCTGGAGTCCTAGGAAAAAGGCTGGTCAAAACAGGAGCACAAGAAGGCTATCAGAAGCTTCAGGTTCACCAGGAAACATCCAATCCAGGGGTAGGCAACCTGGTCTTGAACAACAACTCCCATCAGCCCCACCCAGCATGGCCAGTGTTCAGGAATCATGAGACTTAGCATCATAAACATCTGGAGGGTGCAGGATTGCTCACCCCTGCTACTTTGTTTTTTACAATATATATCCGCCTTGCAATGCTATACATGCAAAATACCAGGAAATTGCTTTGCTTTCCAGTAACTTTCCCCTGAAGCCTCCAGCACTGGCCAGTGCCCAATTCTGTCTATAAAACTGTACGGCCAGCCCTTCGTTCCTGAAGTTTCCACTTCGGCTTTGTGCTTCGGTGGCACACTGGTGTTCCTGGCCAAGAAATATCTGAGGCTGCAATAGCCACATCGGAGCAGTGGAGTGGGCACTTCATCCAGTGCGAGCCCACACTTTGCCCATAAAAGACAACTCGGTACAAGATAGCAACTTAGAGGCATACGATGAGGAGATTTCATACTCCTACAAGTGAAAGATTAACTGGAAAAGAGAAAAAACAGGCCGGTGTGTACTAAGATCAGTCAATGGAAGGATACACACACATGCAAGAAAGGTACAACCTGGCAAAGAAGACAAACCATGCTTAGGCGAATAGGTAGAACTGGAGGCTTCAAAGGACTGCAAAGTCACAGAGCCGCTTTTCCACATCCATGCCACAAACTTCGCTGTTAAAGTAGTCTGATCACACATCATCCAGGCTGGTGTGCATCACAAGTAGAGAGCAGGACTGGGAAGGGGCATCCACCAGAGATGCCAGTGTGGAAGATCACATTTTAGGAAGGTGCATCTTCAAAAATGTCTTTGTTTCATACTTTCCTATAGCGATATCGAATAGTAGTTTGCGCAACAGAAAGTTCCTTCCCTATTATCATGAAAAGAAACCCCCTCTGTTAAGCGTGCAGGAGAATGTCCTAAAGCACGCCGGCAGCATTTCCCACACATGTGGCACATGTGCTGCTGCAGTCCCAGAAGGAACTGGACAATTTCTGCAATCATACTTGATCAGTAGTAAATAAAGAGTAGTAAATTAATTGTAACCACAGCTCATAACAAATATAGAAGTCCAAATATACATACAAAATATAATCTAGATATAGATGACAAATACCAAAGACAATTATAGCTGCAATAAGTAAGCCAAATAGAAAAATGGAGTTTAAAGTGTTATTTGACTAAATGCCTAAGTTAGCAGATAAAATAGTCTAATTTTTAAAAATAACATGGTAAAAATGGTCACTTGATAACTGACACAGAAGAATAGTTGAAAATTAAGTCATCACCCTTCGAAACTCAAGAAATTATCCATAACCAGCATCCTCGCTCTTATGGCATATCAGGGGCTATGCAGAGCATAATGTTTGTGCCCCTGACCTCAAAGACCAAGGAATTTTCCCAAAGAAACAGAAAGTGATCAGTACTGTCCAGCAAAAAACTGAGGCAGACAAACCTAGGTGGCATAATTTCTTGGGCAGATTAAAACGTGGGCACTAAGCATCCTTCGCCACCACTCTGGGCAAGTGTAGTGCACAAAGCAAGCAGCTGCAGGCTGTCAGAAGATGGACCCTGCAGATCTCCCTTCTCTCCATTTTTTCTGAGAAAGAATAACCTTGCAGTTGATCCTCACCCTGACCATAACCTATAACAGGGCTCAGTGCTAATACGTTGCCACTGCTGCCTTCTAAGACCGACTTGGTAACCACCTACAGAGTTTATACATGATACTCTTGTTCCAGCACAATCTTAACAATCTCATATTTCTTCTATATATGTGACATGTACAACCCTGCCTTCCAAAGCACAACTGACACACACACTCAAGCCAAGTGCTTCTCCTTAGGGGCCTCCTTCTCACTGGGGCTACTTAATTTACAGTTACACACCAGTTACAGGATTTACAGTTACACACCAGCTCCTATGTCTGACTTGGGGTATGTACCTTCTAGATTTTCCCATCTACACCTTGACAGAAGTCAACTGAAATATAGCTTTGGTGGCTGATGTAACTACCAAGATGGGTACGCTTTATTCACTTTTCCTTTTTAAACTGCTGCAAAGAATCCATAAAAGCACTGCTTTGGAGATAATCCCCCCCAAAAAAGGTGCCACAGAGCAGGTTTTCACACTGTTAGTTCCTCATCAGCAGTTTTCCTGCACTGCCAGTGCTACTTCCCCCACTCACCAGTCTGAGGACACCACAGGCCCTCAGCTGGGCCATTAACCCTGGACTATCCTCCCCACTGCCACCCCCTTCTCAGAGTTCTATCACTGCTGGACAGAAAGCAGGGAAGGGTGCAGGCCAGGAAAGGCAGATGGTCTCTTCTCCTTGTCCACCTTTCTTGCACAGTGTTGAGGGATGGCCTGGGCCCAGAGGAGATGGAAAGAAGCCACCTCAGTCCACTCACTCTCTGTCTTTGGGCAGGGCTGCGCACACTGATCATGGGTCATGCTCATGGCTGGTCATGGAAAGTGCAGTCGCCCCCTCCCTTTGCTTGCATGCCTGTAATCTCCCTCTGACAGTCAAGGGTGGAAATTCTGCCCAGTGACCTAAATCCTCCCTAACCAGAGCGATGAGTGAGAGAAGTGGCTGTTTCTGGTATGAGCAGCTGCTGCCTCCAAAAATGCACACTTGCCACCATTTCCCATGGCTCCCCTTCTGCAGTGGCCTTCCCTTCTCATCCATATTTCCTCCTTGAGCAATGCAGCAGGAAAATCGGAGCTTACTGGGCCTTCCAGAGGGAGGAACGGAGAGAGGGAGGGAAGAAAAGACCATCTCTGGGAATCATTTCAGAAAAAACCTTCCATGAAGCCAGCTGTCACGCCTGCCATACCTCAAGAGCACATTTTTCCCTGTTCACTCTTCCTTTCTCACTGGGCAGTGCAGAGGAAAACAAGCAGCAGACGGGTAAGAAAGCGAGTTCAGACCTTTCCTCTCTCGCTGAGTGGTATGAAGGACTGAGCTACCTGGGCTCAACCGCACACCTCTCGCAGAACGCACACGAGTGCGTCAGGTGGATGCTCTCTCAGTGATCCAACATTTTACAATGCCCTGCTTAAAAAAAAGTGAGAAGGAGAGAGCATGGATGTGGGAAGAAGTGCTTCCAGCTCCCTCCTGGCCTCAATGCCCAGAGAGACACAGGAGCAGCATTGCCTTGTCCTGCCAAGCACTGGTCTACCGGTCCCCAGGAGTGAACCAGTTCAGACGACAAGGAGCCTAGGGAAATCTACGGGCTTCATACCTAGGAAGCACCTTTCCCCTGCTCTTTTCCAGGCTCTGGAAGGGGCAACAGAAAGGAGGAAAGATCACTGTTTACCGTTTAGGGTTTCATTGCTTTTGTTCACCAATTGGCTCCCCTCCCCGCCCCGAAAAAAAAGTGGCAGTGTGAAGCACCTTTTTTCAAATAGCAGTTTAAGGTCCTACAGCCTGGTGTCTTTCCACTGATCTTTACAATAGTGCAGGAAGGTTGTGCTTTGGCTTTAGAACACAGGAGTCTGGCCATGGCTGGACTTCAGCCTTCTGGCTACAACTCCACATGTGTGTGTGTGTGTGTGTGTGTGTGCGCGCGCGCGCGCGCGCGCGCGCGCCTGTCTGTCTTACAACAGCAAGAGGTGCCCTTGCAACTGTTGAACATGCTGCATTCCCATAAGCAAGATTAATACACAGGCAGTTTCAGAATACTGGACAGCGTGAAGGGGAAAGGTCTCTGTACTGTGTTTCTTCTTCCCTACTGCATAAAAATCCCCCCCACCGCCCCCAGTCTGGTATTAAGGCAACACTCCCTGCATGGAAAGTCCCTTGTACTTTCAAAGACAAGCATTTCCCAGCACTGAAAATCTTCACCTGAGGACCTTCCGCCTGTCTCACAGCTTTTCAAAGAAACAGAAACTGTGCCAAAAAGAAGGTGCAAGGTTCGGTTCCCCCACCCCCGCATCCCTTCCTTCCTTCCTTCCTTCCTTCCTTCCTTCCTTCCTTCCTTCCTTCCTTGAAGAAACCTTGCGCAGGGCATTCACTCACTGCCAGTATCAAAGAGAATAAATCTTAAAAATCACTCTGTCAACTCCTAGGGGTGGACGGAAGGAATGAACGAGGGACACAATCATCGCCACCCTAATGAAGAGATCGGATAGGAGTGTAAGACTGATTTATCAAGTTGGTTCTCCGAAGGGAAGACGTGGCCCTGTTTAAGTCTCTCCCGCCCTCATTCCCCCCCCCCACACACACACAAATCCCAGGCGCTTAAATCTTTTCCCCATTATCTTCCGAAGCCCACAGAAAGCAGGCGAGCCCTTGCTAGAACCTCAACTCGGATGCAACCCCCGTCACGTGAGAACCTCCAAGGGGTGCCCAAGCAGCCCACCCAGCTCAGCACTTGGGGGTGCCGCGTCCGAAGCAGTGTTTCCCCCTTCCTTCCTTCCTTCCCTGTCTTCCCGCGCTTCTCTATAGTACAAGCTCAAGCAAGATTTTAAAATGGGGGAGAGGGCAAGACTACGCTATTTCCCCCTACTAACAAAAAAATAAACTGGGAGGGGGTGCCTTAAGAGGGAAAGAGAAGGCAGACCCAAAAGAAAGCAGGAGCAGGGCTGCCAACCCTGAGCGAAATTCGTCCCTTAATCTCTCGCCCGCCTCCCTGCGAGGGCGCTCCCGCAATCTCGTGGGAAAGGATCGCCCACGCCGCAGAGTCGAAGCTCGCTTACCTGCTGCAGCGAGAAGCTCTCGACCGACGCGGCGCCTGGCTGCTCTCGGGCGCGCAGAAAAACGATCCGAGCAGATGTGACTTCGGCTCTGCTTCTCCAGCCCCAGCTGCCTTCAGTCCTGCTCCAGGAGGCAGAGGCGAGAGCCAGCCCCCGGGGCAGCCCAGAGACGCCTCGTGTGGGTTTAACCCTTGCTGGCCCGAGGGGAAGCAGGCACCCGCACCGCAAAGCCTGAGAGCGGATGTCCCAGAGGGAGGGGCCCAGAACACGCGCGTTGCTCCTCTCGCTTCCGCATCTGCTTTAAATGTTGCGGCACTGGAGTTGGGAAGGACACAAGAAACCTTTCACGCACACTCCCCTCTAGAAACCAGGCTCTTACGACGCAATCCGATGCATGTTTAGCCAGGAAAAAAGTCCTACAACTCCCAGCATTCCCCAACAAGCCAGGCTAGGACCTTTTTCCTGCCTGAAATGCATCGGATCGCGCCTTCAAAGCCAGAGCCTATGGTGACTGGGGAATGCTGGGAATTGTAGGATCATTTTCCTGGTTAAACATGCGTCGGATCGCGTCCTTAAGGTGCTCTAACAGCGGCTGTGCAGAGGGCTTCTCTACACAGGTACATGTAAAACTTTATCTCCGCCCCCTGCCCTCCTCTCCAATTCGATGTTTACTTTATTGGAAAGAGTTCTCTATTCAAAGTAACATGGGCGCAGACCCTCAAGGCTGTGATCCCAAGCCCGCTGCTACTTCCATTGCCCCCGACCCCCCTACATGTACACCCACCAAATGTGGGCAGCTTCCTCATGGTTCCTCTCTTATCCCAAAAGTGTGGCATTCCCGTTGGGAAAATTTGGGTAAATCCTGTCTGGAAAGCATTACTCCTGTGTGCCTTTGCATTGTGGGATCAAATCCTGTCTTCCTTCTCAAAACCAAGCTGTCACTGTTTAAAATGGCATTCCCCCGCTCCTTTCTCTCACCTTTAGCTGTAGGCTACAGCAGACAGGCCACTTTAGCCCAAATATACATTGTAAATAGTCATTGTTGGAATTCAGTTTACAATAACCTTTTGATAGCCCAGAGGGCTTCATGTGCCCTAATCATGCAGAATGTTTAGAGTCGAGATGGGGATCTGAGCTTATCATGAATAGTTTCTAGTAGCTTGAATTTGCATGTCTGAGCAGACCTGGAGATGCGTTCAAGTTACTCAATTAAAGTGTCAATACAGACAATTAGAAATATTGTAATCTCATTGTTACAGTGTGATTGACTGACATTTCTTTATCTGTTCTGTATGTGATGACCTCAGAATCTTATTGTAATCTCTGCATTCTGTCATCAATG